TGAGGTGATGGTAGTCTATCTTTTGAAATGTCGGTCATTATCCAAATTATTATTGTAGGTCATCTTTGTACTGTCATTTGTTTCGAAGTAGGCCAAATTATGGGGCTACCCTCTCCCTCAGTGCTTACAGGCGGCGCGCCCAAGATTCGGAGGTGATGGTAGTCTCTCTTTTAAAATGTCGGTCATTATCCAAATTATTATTGTAGGTCATCTTTGTACTGTCATTTGTTTCGAAATAAGCCAAATTATGGGGTTACCCTCTCCCTCAGAGCTTACAGGCGGCGCGCCCAAGTTTCTGAGGTGATGGTAGTCTCCCTTTTGAAATTATAATTGTAGGTTATTTTTGTAGTGTCATTTTTTTTTTTGAAATAGGCCAAATTATGGGGCTTCCCTCTCCCTCAGAGCTTACAGGCGGCGCGTCCAAGATTCTGAGGTGAAGGTTGTCTCTCTTTTAAACTGTCAGTCGTCAACCACAATATTATTGAATTTTCATTTTCCATAGTTCATAGTGGTACCTTCTTTATAGTTTTACGTGATTTGTGGCAAAGACAAGACCAGGCTAACAAATTTATTCTAGTTTTTGCGTGGTGCGACAATCACCGTGGCTGACTGGCCTCCAAAGTTCCTTTATAATTTGGACGCTTCTCAGGAGTTTCTTCACTGCTTGTAATCCAGAATTGGCGATTCTCAACAGCTTGAAGCTCTTGCATTGCATCAGTTGTTCCTTGGACGGCGACCTTTTCTTGTCCCGAGTACAATATCGATTCTCGATTCTCGACTCTCGATTACCGTATCTTGCTCGTGCAAGGTTTCGGCAATGGGACCAGTACTAACACCATTGCAGGAAAACTGTTTGGTAGAAGAAGAGTAAAATGGTGGCTTCGGCGTGTTACCTGTCTGATGCTCGGTATATCACTACCAAACTGCGCAACAGAATGCGCGAAAAACCCCTCCGGTACTTGAAAAAAAAGAAAAAAAAACCTGAGCGATATAATTTAGTAACTTATTCATGGTGTTCAGCTTCCGGTTTATTCAGCTTATTGCCAGTTGTAGGCAAAGTTCACGTGCACATTATCGCACTCTAACTGGGTTGATTGTGAGGAAACTCTTATGTCAGTCATTAACTAAAAACCCCCCCGCGTTAAGCCTTTGTGCGACGGACGTCCCTTAGAAATATAGATTACCCACACTGATCGCCAATTCTACTTGCAAAGTGTTGCGGATTAAGTTGTGTAATGTATTCTAGAGTGTAAATTTAGTACTAACCTCGCAGACAAGGATGCAATGAGACATTTATTTGCGTAGTTAGGCCTACTATCCATTGGGCAAGCATCCCTTTTATTTTCTTTCGATAGCCTGTCCATGCACTAATCTTTGGATACAGAAACTAGCTGCCTCTCGCTGTACCAAAACTTGATAGTTTTGGCGTTCAATATTCTTAACGGGTGCTCACAAAACACCGGGACTGCATCGTGCGCCTTTGGCGCTTTGGTACCCTGCAAGCTTTGGTTCATCGCGTTTTGAAAGATGGAAATTTTGATATTCCCGCGTAAAAGAAGACCGATAAAACGTGTCTTTCATTGACTACAGTGAAACGCCCGGAAATGAAGAATGTTTTGAAAGAAATGGGAAAACTGATAAAAGTAAATATTTTTTGTGATAAGTGAAATTAATGAGAAATAACCATAAACTAGTTTTGTTGTTTTGTTTTTTAAAAGCGGTTTGTCTGGTACTAGATTTGTACAATTACTTTCAATCAAACATGGATCGGGTTTTGTTAAATATGACAGAATGTAATTAAAAAGCATTATGTTGACAGCTACAAGGCACATGCTTGCCTTAAGCTGCGAGTATCCCGCCATGTTTTAAACAAAGGGCCTCTAACCAAGCCGGCATTCTAATCCGCCACAAATATGTGAAGCACGCGTCTTTCAAAGTCGCCTAGTACTTAAAATCGGCGCTCTGGCCTGTTATGGCGGTTTCGCCATGTTTACTTTGTTTCTCGATTTTGGCGCCAGAACTCGTCCCCAGTATTTTTTACCTTTTCTCATCTCCAGCCCGGTCAATCGCAATATTGTTGATGGCAATCAATCGTGGACCAAATGAATCACGGTGTCATCTGCGAATAGGTGGACTTTGGATCTCACACCGGGGAAGGTCATTTAAATAGGCCACGAATAAGCTATAACTCACGGTCCTCACGCACCAGCACAGCATAATAAGGATGCTTATCATTAGCGAGTCGAGGCAAACATTTGGTGACCATTTCGCCATCATAAGCAGTTAGCGTTAAAGTTTTTCGTACGCGTTCCTGGTAGCGGAGTGTGGTCAAGGTTGCGAGATCAGGCGTGCGTGACCTTGTCAGAAATATCCGTGTCATTCTTCAGGAGAATACATTTTTCCCACAATTTGTAAGTTATTTTAGGAACAATATTTAGAAGAAGGCTGCTCAGCTGAAACTTTCTATGGGGCTTACATGATATAGACGATATAAGTGGAGAAATAAAGAATAAATAAACGACCCTATGAAATAATTTGAATGACTTAATACTAAAAGTGAAATGAAAGTGAAGTACACATTTTTATCAATAAAAAATGTAGGAAAACATTCAGATTTTACACTAGCATGTCGAGTTACAAGCAGCTGATTAGTAAAGAAAAACTTAATATAATAACCACACTTAATCTTGCTTTAACAACTACTCCAAATCACAAAGGCTTCATACTCGATCTCTCTTTCGTGAGAGTCTATATCATGCATAGTGACAAAGAGAAATCTGTGATCTGGGGACTAAAAACCGGATCCTTCGTGCGTCATGTGACAAGGAAGTAACCAACGGCGACAAGGGACTAATTTTAGACGCAACGAAAGGACGCTTTCTTCCACAGCCGTCTAATAATTCAGCCGTTAGGTTATTTCATCAGCCTCCTTTGAAGTCTGATTCAGGTATTGTACTTTTGTTACGATTAGGCAGTCTAACGCTACTTTATCGCCACTTACTCTTCTTAGTCTTATAATGCTAAATCAACGTTCGTTGGCCTGTCTAACACTGTGAGAGTCAATACATTTATTGGAGATCAAATTAACAACGGAAAGAAGCTTCCAGAATTATTTATTGTCTTTATGCAGCAGCTTCAAGCGTCGAAACATGATTCTTTAGTTTCACATACTACAGTGTTGTAGAAGGTTTTGAAAAGTTGATTCGCCGGCGATAAGTACACTTTGTACGGAACTGGGTAAGAGAAACAGAAGAGAAATTCTACACAATGGAGCCTCCGTGAGATTTTGAGATCGTATGAATATTGACTCCAGAAAACCAGAGTCACAAAAAAAAGTTCTTAATCATGTTTGTAGATTTCACATTAGATTCAGGTTTACACTCTGGAAAATTCAGCTCTCATTAGGTATTTCTGGTCCAGAATAGTTCTTCGATATTATCAACAATTTAAAAACGACAAAATCACCCTCTTGCGATTGTCATAAATGACTTCGTTAATTATGGCTTAACCTCTGTTTTACTGTCGGAGTTGGCACTAGATAGATTTAAGCTATACACCGCTCTCTCAGGATTTAGAATGTTTCACTAAAAGATAAATTACGAAGACTTCCTAGTGAGAAACACTTTTATGTTAGAATATTTTCACGTAATTTCTGGTGCTGGTACCTTCCTTTCATCCGTGACGTCAAAGGCAAAGCAATGCCTACAATTTACTGTGTTTGCCTACGGAACGTGTCTGTGTTAATTCTGGAAATATAGGCCTTATCTTTCAGTCAATTCCAATTGCAAGCAACGGCTTCTTATTGCAGATGTGAGTAGTAAATGATCGCTTATGGATTTATTTCAAAAGGCAGCTACACCGAAACGGTCGTTGCTCTTGAAGAATATAAATGAATACAATATCTGCACATAAAATGAATACGGTCCGACAAATTTACAGAATTTAAGATGAATGCGTCTTATGAGCCCGCAATTGTTGCCACGTCGCCAATGAATTATTGCTTTTCTTTTTCTTTTTTTTTTCGGAAGAAATCTGAAAGGAGTGTACGAACAGGTAAACGCACTTTAAGTCACTTTATTTAAGTCTACCTCAACCAGTACACGCAGCAACTGGCCTTAACATCGATTAATCAACTAATTCCCTGAGCAACTACTTGAACCAATATTGCATTTTACTTATATTAAAGCATTTGTAGTCATCGAACCGAATCAAATTAATATATATCTCATTCAGTAAAATCTACGAACTTCTACATCATCCCCTCAACAGGGTAAATCCTGTGTATCTAACTTATATTATGGCTGTATTTCTGCGTTACTGAGCGAGCTCGAGTAGGTCCCTAAAATCAACCCGATTTTCAGGATTACACTGAGTTTCAAATTACCCGCAGTTATCAGTACCTATGAAAGCACAGGCAGCTCAAGCTGAGTATCCTTAAAATGCCTGTCATTATTAAAATAGATACTAGTAATAACCAAGTGTTAGGGAGTGCGGGCGAACATACACGTTTACCTTAAATTGCTTGATGTTGAGAACCGCTTTCATAATTGTGTACGTGAATAACAAAGCCCTTGTTAATAGTTCCAGTATCAACACAATGAGTCACGGTGGGTCATGAACGTGAAATTTTATTGTTGGTTTTCACTTGACGTCACTAAAATTCAAACTACAAAACTATCGATCTTACTGAGATTTTACTTTCATGATATATTACAGCAGCTGAAAACTATTTTTCACAAAAATTTTCGCTTAAAAAAGGGTTCTTGGTTTTGTGATAGAGTACGCTTGAATTTCTAAGCTACTGTGTGACAAGGCATTTACATGACGGCCGAGAGAACTGTCTTGTAGGTTAAAAAAAGTGACGTATTTCGGGGAATTTTGCTATCTAAACAGTTCATGTAATTAGAAAAAGTATTACTTTAATGTTTATGAGTTCCTCGAGGAATTAATTCACGCTTTTGTGCCAAAACTCGGTAACAGTTGTTTTTGTTGGTTTCCAGAAAAAGAAAAACGTCCTGCGGTGAAATTTGAAGAACTGATGGCTTCAGACGCACCTGAGGGAGGGGGAAGCAATGCGGCCCTTCTTGATGTTAGCTTTGGATGGCCATTCAACTTCCGCCTTAGAATTAATGATCCCGACACGGTTAGATCCTTGTCATCTAAGGTTGCTAATGCGCTTGGTTTTGGGTTAGTTGCGACTGGCATAGGGATTGGCGCCCTTTGTTATAAACATCCTGAATTCGTGATGGGAATTGTACAAAGAGTTTTTACAGCACCAGGGCTTGAAGTAGGAAGTGTTACACCTGGCTCAGTTCTTGTGGAGTTGCATTGTAATAGCGAGAAGAGCTTTCGATCATTCATGGAAGATTTCGAGGCAAGGAAAGTGCAGGAGCGGTTGAATAAAGAGTTTGAAAATAGTGGTTATATTGGGGAGGAGCTAGAAATGACCATCACTAATTACAAAGAAGCCGAAAAGTTCTTGGAACAATTTTCGAGGTATGCGGTCGCTTTGCATCTATTACCTAGATACAATCGGACTTGTTTATACTAGTAGGTTGAGTTTGATCGTCCGGGTGAACGTAGTCCTGAATAGGACTGTTGTTGTTGACAGTGACTGACGTTTCGACAACCTGTGCGGTAGTCGTCTTCAGAGTCAAAGTTGGTTGTATCACGTCAGTTAATGGTATTATACTCTGGTTATTGATCTGATTGGTCAATTACATCGCGATGTTATTGGTCGTCTGTCAGTTAAATCGTTATGTTATTGGCTATGAAGACTCGTAATTAATAATTGGTGCGTTTCGATCCAGTCGTCTTTTGTTAGTCAAATTGTCAGTTCTCCAGTCTCAGACCAGTCGTTCTCTCGTAGTTAGTTTTGCTTGATCTCGTCAATAAGTCGTTTGTACGGCGCTGGTACCTGTGGGGTGTTGGTAACTGTTGGTAAATGCTGCGACTGCCAGGCTTCTTACATTACCAGCGATCAAACTCAACCTACTTTTGAAATGATTCCTGGGTTCAAACCTTTCACAGTTCTTGTTTATACTAGTTATGCAATGCTTTCTCTTGGTTTAACGTGAAATATCCCAAGAGTGATTTTTCGTAGTATAAACACGAGCCTTTAGGTGAGTGTGTAAACGAAGACAAATCATGTTACGAGAGGGATATTCACGGTATACCACGAGAAAGCATTGCATAAATAATTTATCCCATGCCACTCAACATGCCCATCAAATTTTCATAGGAAACCTTGACATCACAGGTAAACTCGAAGAAAGTCACCTTAAATACAACTCGAAGAACAATTCCCAAATGAACAGGCTGTCTTATGATAGCTGATGTTTTTGTTCACCTCTGTCTGCTTTACGTGCGTCCTTAAGAAAATGTTAAGATCGCTGTCGAACGTTTCTAACGGGATTTCAGGTAGGCTGCATTCTTTATGTATACCACAGGGGAGGGATTGCCTGAGTGCAGACGTCTCCTATTTCCCTTGTTGCACGCGGAAAAGGGACGTTTGCGTAACGCCGTCGCTAATCGTGTTCCAGCGTCCCACGTCCCTATTCCGCGTGCAACAAAGGAAATAGGAGACGTCTGCACGCAGGAAAGGGAGGGAGGGCAGAGGATTTTTAGGAGGGATCTTGAATTTTTTCAGAGAGAAAAGAGGAAGATCCGAATGCAATAATTGTTTTATTTTTCATTAAAAAATCCTAGTTTGAAAAAGAAGCTGAAACAGGCTTACCTTGATCGATATAAAGTCTTCTTTTAACTGTATCTTGGCAAGTTCAGGATAAAAAGAAATGTTTAGTTCCGCAGATATTCGTCAAATAGCAAATGTCATCCGTCGAGTTGTTTTCTTGCTGTTTTTGTTATCTTTTTAGGAAGTGGTTCGGCTATTCTTCTTCGCGAAACGTGTGAAGTGTTCTTGAATTTTGCATTGCACTACTGACCAAAACAACGCAACCTAGTCCCCAGGGCCGCTTGTTGCTGTACTATGTACTGACGCCATTTTCCAGATATCGCAAACGTCTTTCAAATCTAGTCAAGACTAGCTGGTTATGGAGAACAAGAACGCTCTAAAAAGCTTTCCAGTCTAGCTTGCTTGGAGATTAGAGACGCAATAAGACGCTCTAAAAATATTGACTCGAACTTGCTTGAAGATAACATAAGAAATAAGGAGGCAATTCTCAAGGAGCCTGTGTTCGGGCGTGGAAGCCATAGGAACCATTCGCCACTTTAGAAAATACCATAATAATTTTTTGTCATTTTTGGGGGGCCGGGGGGGGGGCCAAAAGATTAATAAGGTATTTTCTGAAGTCGCGAATGTGGGGAAGGAGAAAAAAGTGCTGGCTAGCCAGATTACACAGTAACCATTGACTGCCTTTCAATTGGTACATACAATAATACAATATTCCAATTTATAGACTGGTAGATTCTATTGGAAATTAAGTCCTGCGTGACAGTCAAGTACAGCTACCCTTAACACATCCGTGACAGATACGTGACCAAGTGTTGAAGGTTAAGTCATTGATATCTCAAGTATTTGTAAAGTGCAATGCGACCACACATCTTAACAACTGCGAAAATCTATCGATTAAATACATTCAACGAAGTGAATCTGCCATAAAAAATCGATTCTTCAATTCACGGGAATTTAAATTCACTTGACTCCCAACTCTTCGTCTTGCAACAACGTAGCTTTCTACACGAAACAGGATTTCCTTGCTATAAGAATTTTATGTCCTTTTTTAGCGATGGTAAAAATACCTTTTGGCGAAACATGATCAAAAGCTGGATCAACATGGCGCGTCATTTCAATCATCGCCGAAAATAAACCGCATGATCATCGAAATACTCATTTGCATACAATGAAAGTTTACATACCCTCACCATCGAAATTTTTTCGTTTTCTTTTTTTCAACCACTGAAGTATTCACTTGTTCCAAAATAATCAACGATTTCAAGCGATAGAATTCGTAGAGCGACACGTTCAGGAAAAGCTCCGTATCTTTCGCATTGATCTTCCCTGCATGGCTTTCATCACGTCGAGATACTTATCCCAGTTTCCACGGTCTTCGCTACGAACGCCTGGCACTATGACCCCTTTTTGGGGTCCACATACGAAAAAAAAAATTTGAAAGAAACGCTTGCATGCGCTGGGATTTGAGCCAGTCAGAAAAAGAGAAATACGTTGAGTGATAGTAAGTGAGTAGATCCAAAAACTTTTGTCACAATAATTCTTCCGTGTTTACCATAATAAGTTTATTTATTTATTTATTTTTTTTTTATCATAATAAGTTAAAGGAGCTGTGTCACGAAATTTATCACTTATTTATCAGACAGTGGCAAAAGCCACCAACTAAGTGAAACAGGAAAATAACAGCTCAATACACGATAAGAAGGTATGAAAAATATAGCAAAAACAAAGGGGAAACGAATGAACAAACTTGAAGAAGACCGAAAGGAATTGCGATTGTGTTTTTTGAAAACCTGGTATCCTGACAATTTTTCGAAGTTCATTTTTGTTTTTAAAGTTTGATATAATGCTTAGGAGACATCTCAAGTTCCGTAGCAAATAAAGACATGCAACTGCCATTAGAGCGGAGCTTCCATTGCCATAGAAAATGAAACTTACCAATAAAATTTGGCTATGACGTCAGCGTTCGTACGATCTGAAAGAGAAGGACTAAGTAGACTCTGCAAGGGAGACGAAGAGGAATCCTAGGAATTCAGCTTGAGCAGGAGCCGAAAAATATTCCGCGAAAGATATTTCTAAAAATAGATTTTCACGGAAAAGGGTTGACTTGAAGAGCTTATATGGGAGATGAAGGCTCCAAGTAACCGGCTCCTGGCTTGTGTTGGTCCTGGCGAAAAAATAACCGGTTCAGCGGTTTGAAGCAGCCAGTTGCAGTAAAGATCTTGAATTTCGTTTGTTTGAAAAACCTTGAAAACTTTAAAAAATATATTTTTAAGCATGTGCTTTGAGCTTGGTCACGTTTTTGGTCATGCTGCAGAACCAATCTATGCAGCATCTTCAAGTTTGTTTACCGACAACTGAACCGTCATATAGTTAAGTTTTAAGTTTTTTGAGCTGAGTATCATCTGAAGAATTATGGAGATCGAGGAAGGAGTTATGCGCCGAGGCCGATTACACCCTCCTGGATTTCCATAATTCTTCAGATGATACGAAAGCCGAATTCGATAATTGTTTTATTATTTATTGTTTAAAGATGTTGTAACGCTCATAGTTTGTAGTCCATAAAGTCTATCACACGTTTTTCAGTGAATACACTGCACAATACCTGAACACGAACCGCACAATTTGTATAGATTTAATAATTTAAAGCTGTCCTAGGTCTGTTTCCAAAGAAATCAAACGATACCTTATGGTAAATTCTTTTTTAGATACAGCGATGCATAATTGTAAAGGCTAATTTACACCTAACTGTCCGCCTTGGCCCAATGGAAAGTAAACAATAAACTTAAGACGAACACAAAAGTTGCCCCGATTTTCTGTTAGGACTTTCCTTTAGACAGAAATGTTGACTCTAGAAATCGTAACCTGTAAATTGGCTGCTACCGGGGAGTATTGTGCATTAAAACGACTGTTTTTGCTGTATACTTAAGCTTGATGCTAGAGTTTTCATTTTTGGGTGTGTTTGAAGGATATTTTTTCTTAATCACCCAGCCCCCACCTTTAAGGGAGGATTCTCTTTAGTGGCTTAGAGTTTATTATAAACGGAGGGTTGGTTTTTAGCCGTGGCTAAACCTATATATTACATTTATTATTATTTTATCATATTTATATTTATTATTTGTCGTGCGAACACGCGAGTAACTAAAAAATGACAGTTGGTAGCCTGAGTATTAGGCTTCTTTAGGATCGGGGGAGGGAAGAGAGAAGCGAAACGGAGTACAGCGAGGACAGAGCTCAACAAAAGAAAAAGAAAAGAATAAAGGCCAGAAGATATAAAGAACACTATGCACTATTTAAAAACTCCTTTCGTTTTTAACCAGAGCACCAGAGCACCAGAAACTGCTAGAGTTTATTTAAAAAGGTTCCTTTAAAATTACTGTATCTCGCCTCAGCTGAATCTGATAGGAGGTCATCCCTCACAATACATAAAGCTCAGTGCTGCAGGGTTTGAAAGCCATCCTTTGGTAGTTTTTTACTTCAATTTGTTTGCTAGCCTAAGAACTGGGAGAGATTTTTTTTACTGATATAGTTAAAATGATTCAAAAAAGAAGTCGTATACAAGCTCAGCAGTTATTTCTTCGCTAACTTGGCACTATGGTGTAGTAAGCCGTATTTTTCAGAGGAGGTCTTGACTCACTATCATCCGTATTTTAGGCGACTCCTCTGCTGAAGCATTCAGCACATTTTGCTATTTTCTCTCATTCCCTCACATCAAGATGGTTTACACGCACAAGTACAAGCATAGGCATACGAAATTAAACTGGTGCCACGAAGACATAAGCACAAGAAAAGGAAGCTTTGAATTGCGATTTTGCTTATTTTTACATGGCTTTGTCTTTTCATACATGACGAGTGCGATGCAAACATCCAAGCTTAAGCACAAGCAGCAAAAACAGCGCTTGTCACTAAAACCTTAGCCTGAATTTCATCCAATTACTTCGAGTCGTTATTACTCCCTCGGTAACGTCTGAATCGACCGGCCGTTAATGCCGTCCAGTGACGTCACTAATCTTTGCTTTAATTCATGCAAAAAGTAAAACACGACTTTCAAGTGGTAAACCAAGAAATATCGTTTGGAAATGCCTACATTATGCATAACAGCTGACAGAATTACTTTACTCGATCTTGTCGATCGTAATTCATGTTTAACATTCAAACTATCAACTGCAAGCAGTACTCTGAACCGGTTGTAATTGAAATAAGTACATACACGGAACACTTAGTTAAAAAACACAACGATTTCCTTCAATTGAAATGAAGCTATTTGGTCCTTAACGAAGAAAAAAGGAAACAAAGAAACAAGAAAGAAAAGCTAACAGAATCATTACACTTGACGGTGAAAATTATTATAACAAGAAGCTCGAATGCCAATGTGACATTGGTCTCAGAAACTTCACATAAACAAAATCACTGCGGAAACCACAAAGCGGCTCTAAATGAAAAACCTACCGACTCTCCGCATTGCATTCACAGTTCAATTTACAAATTCAGTTTGGAAGACAAGAGCAATTTTGCTGTTTATGGTAAAGATATCGAAATGTTTGAACTCCACGCAAGCATGCTTACCGATGCGATCCGCTGAATATCAAGCGACAATCCCGCTAAAATTTCTCACATAATTATGCGAATGCTTAGACAATCAACCAATAAAAATCTCTACCCGGTTTTCGGGTAGTAGTGACGTCACTGGACGGCATTAACGGCAGGTCGATTCAGACGTTGCTGAGAAGAGAAAAGGACTCGAAGCAATCGAATGATATTCAGGCTACTAAAACCTTTTCCTCCTTCCATCTAAAATTTCTCCTTATGAGCCTTCGAATTTTATCCGTTTTATGTTTTGTGCACGTGTAAACATTCTTGTACTTGTGCTGCTTACACTGCAATTAAGGTGGCTCGACTAGATCTTTTCGGGAGTATACCTCCCCACTTTGAGCGTTTACCACGTCGGCATTAACAAGGGTTACCACAGCTACACTGTATAAAGATGAAAATTTGTTATATATGATCCATGCTTTACTGACATCAGAATTATCATGACAACAAAATAACGTTTTTTACTTGCCTTTGTATTTCTCGGTACTAGGAATTTTTTTCAGAAATCGCTTAAGGGAACATTTTTTCTTGTTCTTCGCTTAGTTGTTTCAATTATGGCAATTATGGTCAAAGTAGTCCCCCCCTTTTTTTCGCACAAAGTTTCAAATGGAATCAAACCACTATGAGATGAAACTGCATCTCGAGACCTCATCATTTTCTTTAGATACTGATTAGCTAATTATGTCGATAGTATGTTTATTCACTGTATTTATGACCCTTAAATCTTTGTTTCAAAATATCTTCAAAATGCTCTCATAGAATTTGATCAAACTTTGCCATAATTGAGGCAACTATAAGGGAGATGCAAGCTCCCTTAAGCGATTTCTGAAAAAAAACTCCAAGTACGGAGAAATACAAAGGCAAGTTAAAAAGGTAATGGTGCCATTATGTTGCCATGGTAACTCTGATGTCAATAAAACATGGAGGGCAAATTTTCATCTTTACATAGTGCAGCTGTGGTAGCTTTTTTCTGATATCTTTGGTAATGCCGACGTGGTAAACACTCGAAGTGGGTAAGTATACTCCGTTAAAATCCAGTTGAGCCACCTTAAATATCCTTATGTTTTAGTTCGTAACAAATATTGACCAGCTCTAAAATCTACATGTTATGTATTTATTCAGACAACCCGAAAGTAGTGAACGCGACTTCAGGCAAAGGGAAGTATTCTTTTACAGAGACGTAACCGTAGCAGGTAAGTTTTGACAGTTTTGGTTACTTAAAGATTTTAGAACCAATTGGAAGACAGTTCCAGCTGCGAATACACATTGCCTTTTGAAGGAATTCGCATTTGTCTGCAAGAAAAAACAGGCAATGACGTCATTGCTGAGAAAATTTCTATCTCAACGTAACACTGATCACAACAAATCTTTATCTTTATTTTATTCAGCTGTCAGTGGTAGTTATAGTTTTCCCAAGTCCTTGCTAATGGCGATGTAGTTAATGCAGTTAAAGAGAAGAAATTGACATACCCGTTAGTAGATGAAAATGGTGAAAGCATTACCAGCACAGAAATAGTCGCCAAAAAATTCTGTTGATATTTCACGAGCATCGGTCCAAATTTGGCCGATTAAATAGCCCCTGCCTCCAAGTCGTTCCAGGATTTTATAAACAGTGTGCCCTCAGACTCGCTGTCAAGTTTTACTCATGTCACCTCCGATGAACCCAAAACAATAACAAAAGGTTTTAAGGACGGTAAGGCCCCCGGAGCTGACAACATTCCAATTTCTATTATCAGAAAAACACTCGACCTTATTTCAGATGCGCTTCTATCAATTATTAACCTATCTTTGTCATCAGGAGTTTTTCCAGATAGACTGAAAAGGTGTAAAATTATTCTGTCGTTAAATCTGTTAACGCTAGCCTAGTACAAAACTACCGACCATTTTCTATACTTCCTGCCTTTTCTAAAATTTTTGAAAGAGCTGTCTATGATCGCATATTTCAATTCTTAGTCGATGATGACATATTATTTAAACATCAATTCGGTTTTCGTCCTGGTCACTCTACTTCCCACGCCTGATCAACTTCGTGAACAAAGTTGCTAACGCCGTTGACTGCCAAAAATATTTAGATGGTATATTTCTTGACTTATCGAAAGCCTTTGATACGCTAGATCACGCAATAATACTATCAAAATTGGAAGCATGTGGCATCACTGGGACAGCCCATCAATGGATAACTGACTATTTTAGTAATAGAATACAATTCGTCCAAATTGGCGATTCTAATTCCGATGCTTTAAACAGATTTGAGGCGTACCGCAAGGCTCTAAACTAGGCCCCCTCTTTTCTTTCATTATTTACATCAATGATCTCCCAGTCAGCTCAAATGAACTCGAATTCACATTATTTGCTGATGACACCAGTATACTTTTTAACATAGTGACCTGCATGTACTTAGCTCCCATCTTAACGACCAGCTCCACAGTTAAAAGCCAATAAGTTATCAATCAACGTTAAGAAAACAAAACTAACGATTTTCAGACCAAGGTAAAAGACGTTACCTATAACAAGGCAGATTATTATAGAAACAATGTACTTGAAGAAGTAGATAATACTAAGTTCCTCGGAGTTTATATTGATCAGCACCTTTCGTGGAAAACTCATGTTAATTTTATTGCGGCTAAGATTTCTAAATCTGATGTGAAGTATATGAAATAATTCATTTTTGAACTGCGGTTGTAGATGAAAGTGAAGAATGATCATCGCAGTAAATTTTCCGGTTTGAAAATTCTTGATGTTTTTAGTATCTACTCTCTCCAAGTAAGTTCTTTCATGTACCTGTATCATAATGATGCTTTACCTATTTCTTTCACTCAAATCTTTCCAACCGGAAATCAGATTCATCAATATTCAACCAGATACTCTGACTTTTACCGATCTCATACCTGTGGAACAAATATTAAACAATTTTCGATCCTGTTTCAAGGTCCTATAATATGGAATTCATTACCGAACAACATCAAATACGCCAGGACTTTTAATATATCCAAGTGTGTGATCAAAACAATTTTAAAGGTCAGACAGGATGCAAACTAAATACCTTAGAACCTTATATCTATATCTTCTCTTAAACACTTAAAATACTCGTCTTTTTTTCTTTATTTTAAATGCCGCCTAGTATTTAAATTACCGGTGAGGGGGAAATCTCTATTCCTCATAAGCTCGGCTTTTCGGAGATTTCCCCGCCACAGTCACTCCTTCTATAAGTTGTATCCTAATTTTAAATTTAATGTTACGTGACCTATTTATTATCTTTTTGTTCTACTTGTAATTTATTCTGTGTGGCAAAATAATAAAACAAAATGCTGAAAATAGACCGGCAGCTACCTTGAATTACTTAGATTTAAGGAGTATTATGGGATGCCCAGGGGACATGAGCACGATCCGATGTACTCGTTCAGTATTTACGCGCGCTTTTCGGGCCCATTTTTCTTTAAGTTTTCCTAGCAAAAACAATGGTTGTGCCGTGTTTGGATGTAATAATGATCGCCTTTTTCCTGATAAATATACAGTGAAGTTCTCTTTTTGCCCGAAAAGCGCGCGTTAAGACTGTGCGAGTGCCCCGTGGACATCCCATAATACTCTTTAAATCTAATAAATTCAACATGGCCGCTGTATCGGTATTAATCTTATTTTGAGTCGTAGCATAACGACAGAACTTAAAAGATGGATCAATGCCAGACTTAAGTTTTTAAACCTTGAAAGTGCCTAACGTGCGTTTATTGTCGTCCTAGGCTCAAAAGAGACAGTTGAGCGATATTTTCCCGAGGCAATCTCATCTTCCACCGCCGCAAAACGAAAAGGAGAACTCCTATCACCAGGTGATTGAATTAATATAAATCACAGATATAGATGTGTCAGTCAAATACTTTTTAAACGATTTCTTTTTTCCGTGCATGATTGCCCTTTTGCTTGCCTTTCGGATTATTTTGTTGGAAATTTGAACTTGCGTTATCGCCAAGAGTAAGTTACCACTCTCGTCTCAGTGTCTCGTTTTTTTTTTTTTTTGCGAGACGGGCGTCTCGTCCAAAGGAACGAAAACAAAATACAATAAATCATCTGATGGTCACATTTTTATGCTATGGAAGGATTTACACGGTACAGTACCGTAGGAAACGCCATTACAAGTACAATGAATACGTGTGAGTTAGAAACTAATCTAATAAAAATTCCTGAATTAATCTAACTTACTTTTGAGCGGAACTATATACAGTACGGTGCAAAAGAAACTGCGAAATTTCGCAACAGCGAAAATTCTCAGTCGCGCAATTTCGCCAGCGCGAAAATTCGCAGCTGCGAAATTTCCACAAAGCGAAATTTTGCTGGCAGTGGAGGAGGGTTGTAATGAAAACCTTTTGTTTTGTTTAAACCATTAGTCCAAGTAATTTATTCAGTTTAGACTTCAGTCGCACGCGCGGCTTAACTACATGTAATCCTTAAAGAAAGGCTTATTGATTCCGCTATATATCTTGTTTATCGTCTTTACACTTTTGACTTTAGTCACACGCGCGGCTTTTTAAGGTGGGACTTTGCATGTAAGTCAAAAGCGTATTGTTTATTTATAAAACTGGAAATTCATTTGGCTCTCAAAGAAAAAAAGGTTTACCCTTTTCAATTATTATCGTCTCAATACCCTAAACCATTAGTGCGGATAACGAATAAGCTAATTCTCACAGTAAGTCAATCAATTCAACTATCTGGTTTACGATCATCGCACGCGCGGCTTTAGAGGTAAGACTTTGCATTTATTGCAAGGTTGCATTGTTCACTGATACTGGGCGGGTTAGGTTCATTTGGCTCTCTTGTAATTAAAATAATATCCTGTTTCCAGTTATTCTGGTCTAAACACCCTAAACCATATAGCCCCAATATAACAAATAAACTTAACTGAAATCTCAAAGTACTTTATTGTACTTTAGCTTCAGTCGCACGCTTGGCTTTAGAGGTGAGACTTTTCATGTACGTCAAAAGCAAATTGTTTATTAATAACCTGGAAATTTCATTCGGCTCAAAGATAAAAATTTTCACCCGTTATTATTTATTATCGTCTCAATACCCTAGACCATTAGTTAGAATAACCAATAAAATAATCTTCATAGAAAGGCTAATTAGTTTCACTATACATCAGTCCTGTTTACCGTCTTTGCACTTTTGACTTTAGTCACGCGCGCAGCTTTTTAAGCTGAGACTTTGATAAGCCGGGCATTTCATTTGGCTCTCAAAGATAACGTTTTGATCCTTTTTCAGCTATTTTCATCTTAGTACACTAGAACATTGGTCCGAATAACCAATAAACTAATCCTCACAGAAAGGCTACTTGATTGCACTATCCGGTTTACGGTGATCGCACAGTAGTGTACTACGTTGAAATTTAACTTAGTCAGAGCACGTGCGCGCGTGAAAGCATTTGTTGCAAATGCCCTTTTGTGTCTGAAAACTGATCGCATAGCTTAGTGCATTTGCCACGCGTAGTCATCGATAAAGGAAGATAAATAGTTTACGTATACAGTAATTAAACAAGGCCACACAAAATACACTGTAGTTTGACGATTTTCTTTTATCACGGTACAGAAGCGGCGCGGGCGAACCGAATTAAAGTAAGACAGAAATCGGAAACAAGAATGTTTTGTTCTTTATTTATTCTGCATTAAGCTTTATTATAAAGTGTATCAGTATGCAATAGATAACTTCAAGCTAATTGCAGGAATACATGTATTAGCTAGCGAGACGTTTAAACCAAAATTATGTTGAGAAAGAAGTAAAAAAAAGTTACCAGTCAAAAAGCACCGTTCCGCCTTAAAACCTCTCCACAATTGTAGCATTCGTTGCGATGTTTCTTTTTCCAATAATGATCACGATTACATGTACCTGTACTTTTGCATGAGGTGATGATTACAGTTATTCTTTAGTCAGCTACAAATTCTTGAAAGACGAAATTTCCTTTCGTGGAAGCGAAATTTCGTCTCGTCCAAACGATATTTCGTTTCGCCGAAACGAAATTTCGCTTCGTCGAAGCGAAACTTCGTTCTAATGACACGAAATTAACGGGCACGAAATTTCGCTTCATGCCGCGAAATTTCGTTTCGATTAATCACCTTGCTTGCGAAATTTCGCCGACATCAGAACAATAGAAGCACCGAAATTTCGCCGCTTTTTCGTCTGAAGCGAAAGTTCGCAATCTGATTGCCGGAATTCGCGTAATTTCGCTTATTTTGGCAAATTTCGTTTGCATTTCTTTTGCACAGTACTGTACTTTACTTGAAATAACTTTCATAACTTTCGATTAATCCTGGCCAGTGGTGCTTTTCTAAGGAGATTGGGGTGAGAATGAAAAACGCATTTTAATGTGCAAATGCCGGTCAATTAAAAAACGATTGTGCTTAGACAGGCATAACCAGCTGATCATCAACATGGACGTATTCGTACAACCAATCCATCATTTACATTTTTAGATCTAACCTTTAATCTAGTCACACATTTCTGACGGCTGACCTAAAATTATAGTTGTCTACCAACAAGACAAAACAAGACAAGACAAGACAATGCTTTATTTGAAGGAAGGTTCTACTTGTTCTTGGCTACTATGAGTGTGGTCCCCGGCTACTTTCATTGGAAAATAGAAAAAAAAATAGAACCAAAAGAAATCCCTAGCTGACTCCAGTAATGTAGCAGCTGCTCATAAGGTGTTTCCTCATTGGTCGCAGTAAACAATGCGAAATAATGATAAGCAATGATGTGTGATACTGTTTCACAGTTAGGGTATAGAACCAATTGGCTTTTACGATGAGGAGAGGTGTCAGCTGTTTGATTCTATGACTACTTGTTGTATTTACCCAGAAACTAGAAATCTGAATACAACAATATCTTGATGCCGAAATGAAATAATCTCCCCCTACAAATTAGCGTCCCGAATCAAAAGAGGGGGCTATCTCCAACGTTTACGGTACATCTAGTTACACCATCTATGTTATTTCATTGTTGCTGTGTTCAAATTTGCGCACGTAAGTTGAAAAAATTTGGATATAAAGTTTCCTCGCATTTGAAACCTCTCCAGAAGCCACTATGAGTAAAATCCCTTGAAAAAAGTCTATGAAAAATGTAAGTACAGGGGACAGAATTTTTCGAAAGATGTAGCTGTCTAGCAGCCTATCCATTCTGACTTTTTAGGGGTAAAATACCTGGAAAAGTTAATCTTCTCCTAAGAAGCAGTGCACTCGGAATAACATTTTCAGCCGTTATATCGCTTGCATTTCATTAAGGCTACCTAAGGTTCATTTATAGGTGGGTGAATTCTCACAACATGCTTGGACTAAAGGAAGAGTCAGCTTAAAATAATGGTTATACGACCATAACAGTTCTTGTGATTAATCTTATCGCCTTAGAAGACCCGGGGGCACTCACTTATTTGGCCTATACGGTTATGTGCAGCTGCACAGGGTGTTTTCAGGGTCTTGAGTCTTAAACAGGGTATATAATTTTGCTATTGAGCGTCTTGGACAGGGTGTGAATTTTGGCGGTTCGCGGTGTACGTGTGAAACGAAGTTTTTTAAAATAATCTAATTTTGATCTGTCAGTAACCTCAAAAAAAATCTTTTTGCATTTATGTGACTCCAAAACAAATTAAATAAATATATTTTTTGCCCATTTTGCGTTGTATTTTATCCATCTAGAGCCACTTCCAAAAAGAGGTAAATCATCAGCAAGCAGTTTAGCTGAAGAATCAGTAGCCACGACTTCAAGGACTGCAGATGGTACGTATACTGTTAATCTACCCATACCCGTGAAAGGAAACGGTGTATCTTATGGTCTCTATTGCTGGCCATTACCTCCGAGCATTGTTAGGTACGTGCGAAGTGTTTCTTCCGTTTGCACACCCTGTTGCATGTTGTTAAGAGTTCTTGTACAATGTTTGAAACTGTCGAAGGCGCTTACTTCCAGGCATGAAAAACTTCCATAAAAGGCTAGGTCCCCGTGTACCGGTTAACGAAAATCGCGTGACATTGGTCAACCGAAAGATAGTGTGACAGTTTCATAAATAAACCATTAAAGAAAATTTCACAAAATTCGGTTGCATAGCTAACTGACAAATCCAGATTTTCAGCAATAAAAAAACCGTTAAACTGTCATTCATTCTCAAGACTTCCATTTCAGTTGTCACGCTATCTTGGATTTGACCGGTGTCACGCAATTTTCTTTAAAAGAGGAACCCATTGTCTTTCAAGTTTATAAGATTAGCCTGAGCATACTAAACACAAAAGAAATGAGCAATGTCTAAAAAACACTAATTTCCCAGGAAATGGTTCAACTGGCGACTTAACGATGTTTCATCGATTACTATGCTCGCTTGTATTTTGTCTTCGACATGGCCTGCGATTGGCTCTACGCAACCTTTCTGGAACGCTGGTGTTTTTCCCGTTCCAAAAGGGGCAGTAGCGATAAGGTGAGGGTTTGCCGTATGAGGGTGAGGGTTTGCCGGGTTCGTATGAGCCAAGAAGCTTCAGTGTTGTATGAGCCAGCAAAGAGCTTATGGATACCAGGGCAGAACAAAGCAACATCTCGCTCGTTGTGCCATGGCTACAAGCAAACACCGTCAGCCATTGACGAAGACGTTAGGATAAAATTAATTTTCGTCGATAGGAAAGCGAATTTGGCCCAGCTGCGACTCCAGTTCCGGGTCGATGTGACATTACTTTGTGTGTGCATGATATACACACAAAAAGCGGAAGCTCAAGGGTTTAAAGCCATGTACGATGTACGTTATAATCAGCTCCTTTGAAAGCGGGAAAAGCTGGCAGGAACTCGAGAGGCTTGGGCCCAAGAGTGCCCTTTCCCGTTCCAGGGCTTCTCGGAGCCCAAAATGGCCCAACTGGCCCAGATGACCCAACTGGCCCAAATGACCCAAATGATGTAACTGGCCCAAATGTCCCAAATGATGACCAAAATGACCAAAATAACCCAACCATGAACCAATGCCGTCATTTCATTATTAAAAAAAAATTATTATTTATTAAGTTATCCAGTTGCCATTTTATTACTGCATGTGTTATTATTTCAAGTTATCCAGCTGTCACACTATCTTTCGGTTGACTGATTTCACGCAATTTTCGTTAACCGGTACACGGGGACATAACCCATAAAAGAAACTGGCGAATCAAATCGGCCAGTTAATGTTTGAACTTTTTCCGCCGTGACAAATGAAGGAGGTTCTTATTAATTTGTACACAAAGCACAAAAACTACTTCTACACTACAAAGCGATAAGGACCCCACTGATTACGACAGATTTATGGAGTGATTACATGGTTAATTTCAGCCCGGGCTGAGATATTGTTGCGATTACATGACTAATTGTATAGCTGTTAGTTAATCCGATATTGTCAGCAAAGCTGTTATCCTTTAATTTTTACGAACTGTCCAATTAAGGATTAATTTGGATAGTTTCAGATAGGGCTTTCCTTTACAAATAGGCAAACTGTCCAATCTAAGAAAAATAGGACAGCTGGTGTGAGCTAATCAAATGCCAGGAAATACAATAGGCAATTCAAACTAGCCAAACTATACATTACCTCTTTCTGAACGCAAATTTTGCACTTAAACTTCAAGGAAAATTTTGGAAGGATGACGTGGCAATTAACGTTTAAAGCACATCTGAGCGTAACTATCAAACGCTTAACAAGATATGAGTGAAAAGTAGTTTGGGCCGCCATTTTCCAGTTGGAGGGCAACAGTATGCCCGCCAACATGGCGGCCAATTGCAAATCATACTACTTTGTTGAAAAATCAAAGTGCCATAAAATATCTCCCCCAAATGCGTTTCCTCTCAAATTTCGGGTGTAAGATAATTTTTGTGCTCTGCCAATTTTTAGCACCAGCAAGATTCCAACTCATTGTTTAAAGGAAGCATTGGTCACGTGACCACTTAGTGCAAGTGGCCTATTTTGGTTGTCATGTATGTATTTAAGCTCTTTCGACAATAACTCCATAAAACATTACTCTTCAGAAAATAGGTTTTGAAAATCAAATGGCTTCCAGACGGGACCAACTTTCAAATCAATTTTTTTGACTATTTGACTAAGGTTATTAAATTCAATTAACAATATTAATTTCTTTTTTCTGCAGAAACGAAGTTTCGAAATACTGCCAGTAACCCTCCAGAGGTAACTGTAACTATGCTTACAAATAGAAAACTTCCTAAAACATCAGAACGTTTGGATCGTGAGCAACTGCCAATCGATATTCTGTTGTTGACAGTAAAGGACTGTGAGTTTTTAGCCTGTCTCTCCTTCCTGACGGGTTTCTCAAGGATGTTTCAAAAAGGCCTTGGCGACGTGTACATCGGAAATATAGGTGAGATGAAAATCGCCGTAATGAAGTGCAAAATGGGTGCGGCTGGTCCTGGAGGTGCAGCAGGTGTTGTTAGAGACGCAGTGAAAGCCTTAACGCCTAAGGCGGTGTTTTGTGTTGGTTACTGTGGGGGCTTACAACCCGTCAAAGTCAAGCTAGGAGATGTGGTTATTTCCGAGGTACTTATCACATACGCTCCTTCAAAAGTGACCAAAGATGATATTGAAGAACGTGGCCACCGAGTTCCGCTGAAGCCCGATCTTGCCTTGGTAATACTCAATGCTGCTGCTGGATGGAGCCCACCGTTGTGGGATCCAGCAGAATTAGAGGTGGAGCGGGTAAAACGTGGTGCGTTACTGAGTGGACCATATGATATTGATAACAATGATGTGCGTAAAGCACTTCTCAACCGATTCCCTGGGGCAATTGCTATCGAGATGGAGGGCGAAGGTAAAGTAAAATAATATTTAATGATAATAATCCATCAATCCCAATTTAAGTGATGTAAACTGCGTTAGAAATGGGCGTAACGGTTATCCAAAAAGTTTCGATCTATTTATAATAATGATAATAATAATAATAATAACAATAACTTTATTTCTATAGCGCCCTTATCCTATGTTCAAGGCGCTTTACAATCATGTAAACAACATTATTGAAAAACATTTACAAATTTACAACCATATCCTATTATATTTACAATGAGTAAAAAAGAAAAAAATTAAAACTAAAGCAACTATTAAACCATCTTATTCATAATGATAAAAAAAGGGAAAAATTAAAACTAACGGAATATATACAAATCTATAAAAACAATGATCCGTTATTACTGAATTTAGTGAACAAGTACGTCTTAATTGATCTTTTAAAACTCGAGATGGTGTTGGACTTCCGAATTGCATAGGGTATTAATGTATTTCCCGTATACACCAACGCTCAAACATGTCCTATTTTAATTGGTTTAAAATGTGTACGATTCAGACTAACGAGAACATAATCGTAGCCGCTTTTGATTACTTTCTAACCATCGCTTGACGTTCGGAAATATTTATCACTAGCTGCATTAAAATAGACAACATTTTAACATGTCAAAACTTTGGTGTGAACGAGACACAAGGTTTGAGGCGTTTTTAAACCAATGGAGAACTGAAATAAACTGGCTTCAATTCTGTCCCAAACCATACGTATATTTGGGAGCTTGAGCAACCACGAAAGCGCTGGAGGCAATTGGAACGTCTAAAAAGGAAAACAAAAACTCAGCATACTTTTAGATCTTTGGTCAAATTTCAGATCCTTCTCTTGGAAATGTGTAATCTACTACATGTTATCTTCACTTTCAGGTGTTTACTCAGCAGCACATGACCTGAATGTTGAGTGGATAATTATAAAAGGCGTGTCGGACTTCGCAGACGGCAAGGAATCTGACACAGATGCATGGCGATCCTTTGCGAGTTTAATGGCTGCATCATTTGTTGCTCATATCCTCAGTAATCCCATCATTTTTGAAGACTGGCCTCACTACAATAAGGGACAGACAAATCTACCTCCCTCCTCAGGTGACTACAAAAATGAAATGTTTAATTTTTCAAATGATAATTATGAAACAAACAACCAACAGTGTTCCAAGATACAACAAACCAAAACGCGACTGATTCTAATGTGGCTTTTTTTTTTTAATTTAAAAATAAAGAAGCCACAATAGCTGCAAACCTTTTACCTTTTCATTCCAAAGACGCACAGTCAATACAAAAGTAATCGCTTCTGAACAGCAAACATCGAAAAGTTCAGTATTCTAATGTTGAATCGCTTATTATGGACTGAATGATGACTGTTTCTTCCATGTTTCAATGGGAAGAAAAACCCCTAATAGTTTTTCGATAAAAAGACCTTTAGAATGGGTAATCTCGTACCCAGATCTCTTATTGACGAGGCTGAAGGCGAGATCTGATCTAGTAAGAAAATTCAATTTTTTCTGGTTGGCTAGATTGTGGGCGAATGACGTGAGTGTTGCCTCTTGTGCGTGCTATTGTGTGTGCAATTCATTCTCTGCAAAGCCTTCCGTTCTGTTCAAATAAATATTTTCACTGAAGAGTAGTTTTCCGTGTCAATATAACTTGTAAACCCATTTTTATCTTATTTTTAAAGACTTTTGAACAGGGTTAAAAAAAATTATCGCGTAGAGGTTGACATGTACTGCTTTTAGCAGGTCTTAGCGCTAGCTGTAATAATTAAATTTAAACCATAAATTATCCATGTTTAAACTAACTTTTGCGTTGAATTTGATGTATCAAAGGGCAACAACAATAACAATAAATTAGCTGGTTCATACTCAACATGTGCTTATAACCATGTTTTGTTAAAAAAAAAAATACTGCACATCCCTATACATACATACATACATAAGATAAGCTAGTATCTTCGAGTTACAAGTAAGATTTTAAAGCTACTAAAACAAGAAACTATCAAATTTGTTGTTTAATACGTCGAAAATTAAGGATTTATTTCGAGCATACGCTTTTTCATCGCTTTCCACATTCCTCACAGGCAATCACGCGTACAAATCAGATTTGGCCAGATCTCTCCTTCGGCTTCGTCAACAAGAGATCTGGGTACGAGATCATAGAATCGGTTAGAATTCGATCGCTATGTTTTAAAATGTTGATTTTAGCCTGTGCATGTTCGGACATTCCGGCATATAATGAGCTTGTACTGCTTGTGATGTAGTCTCCCACGTGGACCGTCCTAGGGGGGGTTCGTCACGGGTTCCTAAGAACGTCTGCGTGGGAGGCTACTTAGTCTATGATATAGCCGCTCAAAATGGTTTGCGATAACATAAAGAATCATGTTTGCAGTGCGTTTTCATTTGCCCGCGTATTTGATTTCTCCTCTTCTAACCTATAAGTTTTTCAGTTTCCTTATGAAACGATCACAGTGCCGATAAAGCGGACCAAGACACACTATGCAAAGGCCAAAAGCTACCTTAGGAGTTTATCCCTGTAATGTATTCGCATCGTTTCGCGAGCTAACTTAATTATGCAATTATGCGTATGTAGCCACGCCTTCGTAGAGAGGGGACCGGAAAGGTGGAAGGGGTTTAAGCAACATGTGGAACTAATGTTCGGTGGTCCGCTCTCCAGCAAAAAAGAAGGAAGAAAAAAACAGCTATCTGCTCATATGGTGTGGCGAGAAGGGGCGAGGTCTCGTGAACACATGATCGAATATCAGCGAGGACGACAAGAAAAAACTCAAGACTTACCTCGACCGATTTGAAGCACAAGTGGAACCAAAAGCAAACACCGTATTTTCCCGACACAAATATCACAACCGCGTTTACGGTGAAGCCGAGACGGTGGAGCAGTTTGTAACCGACTTGAAACTACTGGCTAGAGATTGTGCTTTCTAGGAACCGGAATAAATGATCAGGGACAGGATCGTATTCGGTACAAAATTCAAGAAAAGGTGATAAACAAAGGCAAAGATCTGTCCCTTGACAAAGCTATTGAAATTGCAAGAACATATCAACTGCCAAAAGCACAATTAAAGTCAATGAAGTCAAGCAGCGAAGTGGTTCATGGAGTAATTGAGGGGCAGCAGTACAGAAGGAATTCTTCGAACACACCTTCCAAGGAAAGACCACAATCATGCACAGGCGGTTGAGGCAATGTTCATGTAAAAGTGTAATGCCGAGCTATGGGCAAAAAGTGCCTTAAATGCGGGAAAGCAAATAATTTTGCTTGAATGTGTAAAACAAGTACTAAACAGGTACATGAAGTCACGAAAGCCGACTACCAAGTAAGTGACAGTTTCTTTGTTGAAACTATATCTGAAGACAAGAGGTCTCCAAATCATGTCTTTGTGGAGATTTAATTAGACCAGAGTAAGGAAACAGTAAGCTTTAAGCTTGACACATAGGTCAACTAAAGTCTCAGAATCTAGGAAAAAACCCACACAAACTATATGGGTATGAGGGAAAACCTCTAATGGTCGAGGGAAAATGTTAATTGCCCTGCAAGTACAAGGAGACCAGTGAAATGCTACAGTTCTACTTAGTATCTACACAAGCACCTCCTATTCTGGGTTTGTCATCATGCCTTTTGTTAAATTTGATAAAGTTGATATTACCTGTAGAAGGAATCCTGAAACTAGAACAGACCCCAAGTGATGTACTCAGTGAGTAGGGTGACGTGTTTGAAGGCTTCAGGACTTTGCCAGGGACTCACAAGATTAAGCTGAAGCCAGATGCAGTAGCTGTAATCCATCCCCACGCAGAATCCCAGTGCACTTATTGACAAACTAGAAAAAGAATTAAAGAGAATGGAAGATCGTGGCGTCAAAGTCAGAGTAAACGAGCCAATTGATTGGGTGAACTCAATTGCAACACAAAAAAGCAGCGCACAGGCGCTTTGCGAGTCTGTCTCGACTCCAGAGATCTGAACCAGGCGATTAAGCGTGAACACTACCCTCTGCCAACCCTAGAGGATTTAACCCTGTTGCTATCTGACGCTAAATATTTCAGCGTTCCCGACGCAACCTTGGCTTATTGGCATATAACGCTTGATGCTTGGTGAGAGCTCGTTGTTAACCACCTTCAACACGCCGTTTGGGCGGTATTGCTTTACCAGAATGCCCTTCGGAGTTCACTCATCTCAGGAGGTATTCCAGAAACAATGGACATGAGATTTGAAGGTATCAATGGATGTGAATCCATCATTGATGATATGCTGACTAAGGATCATCCAAAAGGGATCATGACAAGAATTTGAAGAGAGTTTTAGAGCGTTCCAGAGAGATTGGAATCAACTGGAATGCTGAGAAGTGCGTTATATCAACGACAAAAGTTAGTTACTCTGGTCACGTGCTATCTAACAAAGGCGTTCAGCCAGACCCGAAGATAACTGCTGCCATTCAGGACATTGAGCCTCCAAAGAGCGAGTCGGAATTGGAAAACCTACTTGGCATGGTCAACTTCCTAGCAAAATTTACACGTAATCTTGGCGGAAGCCACCACACCTATGACAAGTCTTCTAAGAAAGACTCTGAGCTGGTGTGGGACTGTGCAAAGTACTCTGCTTTTAAAGACACGAAGATGTTAACTGCTTTTGCAGGAACCTTGGCCTACTTCGATACAAACAAGAGCGTAGCAATGGAGGTTGACGTTTAGAGCCACAATCCAAGACAAGAGATGACCCGGCGTCACAGCAGCTAATCAGAATCGTACAAGTCGGATGGCCGAATCACAGAGGGCAGTGTCCCAAATCAGTCCTGCCGTATTGGAATTACAGAGATGAGCGGACAGTGATTGACGGGCTTGTGTTTAAAAGAGAGAGTATAGTCATTCCCACCGCTGCCAAAGGAGAAATGTTGAAACGAATCCATGTGGGACATATGGGAATTGTAAAGTGCAAGAACCGAGCAAAGGAAGTGATGGTCTGGCCAAGCATGAACGGTCAGATAGAAGAAATGATCTCAAACTGTCCAACCTGCTTACAGTTTCGCATATCTCATGCGCCAAAAGAGCCCATGATATCACACGAAGTCCCGGAATTCCCGTAACAAGTTGTGGCAGCAGGCCTATATCAGATTGATGATGAGCACTATCTTATCGTGGTGGAGGACTACAACAGCAGATATTTTGCGTTGGAAAAAATGTCCAGCACCACCTTCCCAGCAGTGATAAGCAGAATAAAAGCCATATTTGCAAGATTTAGAATCCCGGAAAAGGTGGTGTCAGCTAATGGTCCCCAGTTTGCTGGAGCATAATTTTTTACTTTGTTCCGAGGACTAGGAATTCCACCATGTAACTACAAGTCCTCTTCACCTTCAAGCAAACGGGATGGTCGCAGGGAGGGGAGATGTTATGTACTCGCATCGTTTCGCGCTAACTTAATTATGCAATTATGCGTATGTAGCCTCGCCTTCGTAGAGACACGCGATATGACAGTCGAACAGTGAACTCTAGATTTTACAATCCCCGTGATTGATGTACATGAATTTGTCACTAAGTAGGATGACAAATTTTTTCTTTCCAGTTCAAGGTGAAAGTGGTGAACATGTGGAACGCAAAGGTTCTGAAAGTGAGGCACAATCCAAAGGCAAGAAAAAGCCCGTATCTAGTGGTAAAGGTACATATATAGTAGCTATGTAAAGGTTAATTTTATCGACCGAGTTTTATGTTGATAACATCTTCCTTTCAACTGCTTCTTTGTCACAAGTAGACTTTTTCTCAAGAAGACCCCTGTTCTTACTTCGACAGTTGAGAACTGAATGATTTATTTAAATGTTCTTAACACCTTTTGTTCTTACACAAGTAACGTAATCTGAATATATTACATTTAACGAATATTTCAGAACATTCCCGCCCAAACGCAGGCGTTTAAAGCAAAGTATCTGCAAAAATTCAAAATAAACAACGGATCGATTAAAACGCACAACATCAACTTAAGTTTCACTTAGTCTAATAATCGTCACTTTCCCACATTCTTTGATGACATTAATTTGAGATTACACTTTGAACTGGATTAAACGAAAATATTATTTAATACACAAAGTCTAGTATATTTTTAGTAAAACCATGAACAACAACTGATCACATCAATAAACATAACATTTTTTATTATAATTACTCATAGGTGATTATAGCCCGGGTGGGTGACCCTATTCGGCGGAATGGCGGAATACATGGAATATTCTAGAATACGGAATGTACGGAATATACTAAAAGACGGAATTTACAGAATATTCTACACAAAACACGGAATATACGGATTATTTTAAAACGCAGAATAAGAGAAAAATCGTTTAAAAAGGATATACATATATACAGTCGACTCCCATAACTCGAACCCTCGCTACTGACTCGAACATCTTGCTAACTCGGAGTAATACTAATTTTTGTTTCTCTTCAGATCATTTCTAAATAATTTTACCCTCAATAACTCAAACCATCTTTTAAGCCCGTGACAAGTAAAAGAGGGTCTGGATGGGGTTAACTGACAACTGACAAATAGGCTAAAATTTAACTGACAACTGACACTTGTAGAGGGTTTTACTGACAACTGACAAAAGATCTTATTGCCATAAATATCCTTCAAAACCCGTTGTAAATAACAATGTTTTACTCTTTTCGTCAAACAAATGCACGTTTTATATTAAATCTTAGCAGCAGGACGCTTGAGTGTCATAATTCGTTAATAATTTACTGTATGACCCATGTACATCAGGGTCATAATTTTCACCTCTGATCTCGAACTTACAAACTCACGCTGAGCAGTCCCGAGCACGCTCCAGCTTACATGATGGCTGCCAATGCTGGCGTTATTAAAGCGATCGTAAGCTTTTAACGCGTTAATTCGGATACGGCATTCGAAAGACATAGAAGCCGTATTCTTTAAGGCTAGCTAAAGGTTCATTTATAGGTGGGTGAATTCTCACAACTTGTTTGGAATAAAGCATGATTCAGCTTAAAATAATGGTCATATATACGACCATAACAGTACTTGTAATTAATCGTATCGCTGTACATGTAGAAGAGCCAGTTCAAAAAAGAGGTAAATCGTCAGCAAGCAGTGAAGCTAACTAATCAGTGGCGCCTTCCCCAAGGACTGCAGATGGTATTTGTATACGCAGTCTAGACATGACTCCTCGGGGATCAAATCATTCACAAATAAGAAATATTTATCAAGGAGGTCCTTGGATGGTTTTATCAGTAGTAAGAACACCACCCATGAACGCGTTCCCGTTCAAACCATATTGTTCGCACCTTCATCAAGGACGCTAACGCGTTCGTCTTTCTTCATTAAGCCCATCATTAAGATGACTGAAAAATCGTCACAAATTAAATATCCAACAGTGATCCTTCACAAAATTCAGATACACCCGTAAGTTCTACATTTAAACTGATTTCCATCCATTTATTGCAGTTTCAATCAAAGATGGTACCTTAACAAAGGATGAGTTGGAAGCCCTGTCTCTGAAGCTTGGGAGTTCATGGCAGGTTCTTGCTCGACGTCTGGAGTTTAATGAGGCAGAAATTACCGCATTTCACAAGGAGAACGAGGAATATTCTATGAAAGCATATAAAATGTTAATTCGGTGGAAAGAGGATAACACCTCAAAAGCAACTTACAAAGTCATGTATAATGCCTTGTGTCATAATTTCGTAAAGCGTAGAGACTTAGCAGAGGAATTTTGTTGTGACTTAAAGTAGCAGTTTGCAGTTTGTAAACTGAGATTGGCTGAAATCGCAGAATGTGCCAGCTGTGGTCATTTTTTCTTTTCCTGCATGGCTTTTCGCATGGTTTACGAAGTTTGTGCAGCACTCGTAATGTGCTGAAAGCTCGGTCCGAATTAATCAAGTGTCCTTTATATAGTACCTTTTTTGTACTTACTTTGGTGAGACAGTATTTCGAGGGATTTTATTTTATCGATTTCAATAGGCAAACATGAGAAAAGGGCATTAAATTACGCGATTCAAGGGTCTCAACTTCATTTTAGGTTTCAAAAAGTCTGACCTGTATAGTTTTAAATAAACTGTTACAAGCAAAACCCATATTTCAAAAATTAACTTCTAAAGTAAACAATAACTGGGAATCATTACAATAAAAAAATCCTCAACTACGTTTTGTGAACTCAGTCTAAAGATGAAGAATCTTTCGTCAAGCAAACTTTTTCTAATGTTATTTGACTTACACTGCAGTGGTAAGAGTAGCTTTCACTCTCACTTGATAAAGGCGTCAGAATATTTTAACCTACCCGACTTCAACGCTGATTTGTTGCGTACCGCTATAGAAAAAAACTTTGTAAGCTTAATGAAACAGGAATATCGGTCAGCGGTTGTCATGCGAGCATGGCGTGCTTTTCTCAGCTCTGTTAATTTTACTTTTATAGTTAACTTTTTTCGTGCTTTTTCGTTGTCTCTTATTTATCTACTGTACCAGAATGGTAAACTGCTAAGATGGAGCAAGAAAAAACTAAAATGGAGGCGATGTTGAGATCCATTTTGGATGAAATCTTAGAATCCAAACTGACGGCCATCTTGTCATCCATCTTGGACGCAAAGCTGAAGACTTATGAGGAATCGATGAACGTTTATAATACAAAATTTGAAACAATGAAAGCAAAGATGGAAGGCTTGTATAACTATCACCATAATTTTCTTCCATCTTCCTTTGAAAATTTCTTTAAAACGGTAGCATCCATACACTCATACAATACTAGGCTTGCTTCTAAATTAACCTATTACCTCAATACTATCAAAACAAACTATGGTAAATTCAACTTTCGCTTTGCGGCTGTAAAAGTTTGGAATAACCTTGATGAAAGCATTAAACACCTCCCCCTTAAATCCTTTAAAAACAAAGTCATGTCAAACATCTTACAGTCTTACTGTTCGTGAGTCTTTTTTCTTCTTTTTTTTTCTTCCTTTTTCATTTTTTTCTTTTTATCTATTTACTAATTCCTTGTTTGTTCTAGCTTTAGTGCCAACCTACCTCCTATGCCTGAACATTATTTAGCTTTACTCAGCTCGATTAGCTTTTTAGTTATTCTGAGTAAATGTTACCTTTTTTGTATTAATATATTATATTGTAAATTAAGTTAACTTTTATTTGGTAATAAAGCTTATGTTGTTGTTGTTGTTGTTGTTGTTAGAATATATATCATATTGGCAAAATACCCTTTATCACTCTCAAAAACTAGAATTTTTTAGATCTTTTAAAAGCGATCATACAACTTCTAATTACCTAGACTTAACCACAGGAACGGCTGAGAGAAGGAAATTAGTAAAATTACGAAAAAAAAAACCGGAACTAATGATAGCACTTGGTAGATACAATCAAACTACCATAATAGGAATTGCCCTTTTCGTGGATCCAATCAAATAAAAGACGAATTTCACTTTCTCTTTTACAATAAAGTCAAGACTCCGATTCCAAATATTACCCAGTTACCTGTAAACGTTTTGATCAATCAACTGATGAACGCCTCTAATTACTTTATCAATATACAATTCATGAAATATATTTCAGCTTGCTTTTATTTGCGCGACGAATTAATAACAGAGTAGCTTAATTGTCCTGTGATTAAATTTTATTTCTTATTCTTAAAATATAATTATAAATAACTTTTGCAATACTGTATGTACTTGTATGGTCATGCAAATAAAGCATGTTGTTGTTGTTGCAAATTAACGTACGTTTTTTCACAACAGAAGATACGCAATGCTGGAACTTACCAGTAAAAGTGTATTGTCGATATATTTCCTGTATATATTGTTGTTCGTACATGTCAATCATGTTTTTCCTTACATTTGAATTTTCTATATAGGTAATAAATTTCGGGTCTTTTAATTTTTTAGGACACGTGAAATTAGACTGCGAGTAGTCTCTTATTCATGGTCGAGAGTACGCATATGCATAATTTTACTTTTCCTCTCGCCGCGCGTGGCTCTAGGAGAGAAGGACGGCCGCTCGCGGTCTACCGCGAAGTTAATAAGGTAATAGGGTATTTGAGGATGGCAAAGAGTATTTTCATGACTCGTGATCAGTCCTTTTTTCTCGTGAAATGTGAAATGGCTAAAATAAATCCTCATAATTACGTTTTTTGCATTTGAAAGACGATAAAAATGTGTAAGACAAGGAAGATTGCTTTATAAGTCACAGTCCTTAAGTTATCCATTTCACGCTCAAAGTAATTACAACAAACCCCAGCATCAAAATATCAAAACTGATACCCTTAGTGATCATTTTCGGCCACAATGCTCAGTCGCATTCCTTACAAAACAAGCACAGTTGCTCTTATATCTGACTCGTCCCCAGTCGTCTCTCTCTCTGTCTCCTTAGTGGCGCGAGGGGTGTGATGGGAAGGAGGAAAGCGAGGGAGAGAGAGTCTTCCTCCCTTTTCCCTTCCCATTCCGGCTGATGACCGTGTTAAATTTTCCCTTTGGAAACATATTTTGTATAGCAGGAGTATCACACTAGCATTTCTATATCGGCCGTGGGTAAACAGAAGGGAGACGAGAGGGTTATCTGTTTGCTTGGGCCATAAGATCGTCAAACACCAGCACATTGTTAAACTTTGGGTCAATTTCCCGAAGATCTTCTTTAAACTCTGGAAGGCCACGAATAAACTGAATTTCCTTTCCGATAGATGACTGCATCACTTGGTATCTATCCCGCCACTGACTGTAGTACCACCAAGTTCGCCTTTGTTTCTTGCTCTCGTAAAGAATACGATCCGTTGTAAGAATTATTAAACGAAAAACGTTTTACAACACTGAGTGGGGCTCACCATGAGAAGTGAAAATTTATGTCGAAACATAAATTCTGGATATGTTTTGGTTTCCAGGGAAACATCGTTAGATAATTTGGGCCTCTTGACTATACAATGCTGAGGTTTCTCCGTTTCTTTGACAGCTGCAGTAGTTCGTTTTCGTACTCTACTTGTTTCCTTTTCCGCGTGTAATACTTGAGGAAAACGCCGAGACACTGCTTGTGCTATACCCAGACTTAGACCCCGAAAATACTGCTGCCTTTAGCCATTGCTTTCTTTCGTGACTCTTTAATCGATGCACTTGACGCAGGTGATCACTCAAGGAGAGTAACTCTGGCTTGCCACATACCGGGTAATCTCTCATGAATTTAAAGGGCATCTTTACCACACAAGAACCTTCAACACACTGGAGGAAATAAGTGAGTATTGTGAGTGACAGGCCAGCACGGACTCCTCGTGTGGTTTTGGCGGTCGCCTCGTATGATAGCCTTACAGTTAGATTTTTGATCTAACAAGCGTATCCTTTAGGGATTTACCTCTTTGGTACGATATTATCGGAGGTTTCAAATAAATGGTTTTCAGCAAAGGCTGATTTTGTATTAGACTCCATTGTTCCATCAGTGTCTGTTTGAGGTTGTTAACTGCTGGGTGGTACGTAGTAACAAAAGGCAATATCCTCTCATTAGCCTTTTTCAAAATCATCTCATTTTTCTTAGCCCTGCACTCTTCAGTTTGATCTGGAAATACAAAGGGGGGACATGGGTGGGTTCCCTCAATAGGCTACTTGCGTACACACACCACATTCACCTGATATATTCTTGTATGTACTGGAAACTCTAACTTCTTAGAATATTCTTGAGCAAAAAAGTGGAAAAAAAATTATATTTATTTCTGCTACTTGTTTTCCTTGTATTTTTCTTTTTTTTTTTTTGACAACTTCTCCATGTCCCCCTTTTCCTAACCTGAAGCCCTCTACCTTCTATACCCTATCCCAGCCTAGACTGTATGAGAACCTTATCATTCATAGCAGCACATATCCATACCCGACATACACCATATGAGAGTTTTCCGTACGCGGTCCTGGTGGCGGAGTGTGGTCAAGGTTGCTAGATCAGGAGTCTGCGTGACCTTGTCAGAAATTTCCTTGTCATTCTTCAGTGGAATACAATTTTTCTGACAGTTTGTAAGTTATTTTAGGAACAATGTTAGAAGGCTGCTCAGCTGAAACTTTCTATGGGACTTACATGATATAGACGATATTAAGCGGGGAAATAAAGAATGAATAAACGACCCCATGAAATGATGTGAATAAATTAATACTAAGAGTGAAATTTAAAATAAAGTAGACATTTTTATCAATAAAAAATGTCGGAAAACATTCCATTTTTACAAAAGCTAGCTGGAGTACGAAATCTGGAGACCGGGGGGTGAAAACCGGGGGGACTTCTCCCCAAGGGTCGAAAACAAGGTGAAAACAAGCAGCTGATTAGTAGAGAAAAATTTGATATGATAACCAGCTTGCTTTAACAACTACTCCAAATCACAAATGCTTCATAACAAGAAGAATACTCGGGGCCCCCGAGTATTCTTCTTGCTAAAAGTCGGGGCGCTTTCCATTCAACAAAAATTCCGGTTTGAAATTTCGGAAACTTCACGTGCTCAATGGAACGGTACATTCCAGTTGCACAGACCCGACCCGTCCCAAGCCACCGCGCGTTTTGTTACTGTGGCTTCGCAGCACGCTCATAATTACGCTCTAAAAGAGAAAAGTAAATACTGTTTATATCCTAAAGAACACTCGACTGTCGAAAAGGGGCGGTGGAAAACTAAAGGCGGAGGAATCCTATTTCGCGTAGAAAGCCTATGAATGCAAGTGAAGGTAAAAAATTCTTGTGAATTGAAGCGATACGTTTCTCAGAATAATCGAACGATTCGAAACAGTTCCTGGAACTGTACTGTAAATAAATTCGGTGTTTTGGCCAATTTGTTATCAGCCAGGCTTTGTTGTATTCATTTCAGCTTAATTGATAAATTGCTTTAGTTAAATATCGTCGACAGCTTTTCAGACAAATAATACGCTGATTCTCACGGACTTTTATACAATTGTAGCTTGATTACACACTTTTTTTCACCTACGTGTCGTGTTGGGTCAGTTATTTGACACTGTTAATGGCAAATAAAATAAAATCAAAAAAAATTGCAACTGATTCAAACTATCTGAGATGTCATGCTTTACTCACTGGAAAATATTTGTTCTTGTAAGCAGGATAGTAAAGAGCGGCTATACTGGGGACAACAATTTTGGCAAATGGAAAGGGACATTTCGGTCCGACCGACCGAAATGACCAGACCGGTCACAGTGGACCACCTTCAAAGCTGGTCCCGAATATTCCGGTCGGACCAAACCGAAATGGTCCGTTCCATTTGATGTACCAACCGAAATTACAGGAATTTTGGGTTGAATGGAAAGCGCCCTCGATCTCATGCATGATAAAGAGAGATCTGGGACCCCGGATCCTTCCTGCGTCATAAGACAAGTACGTAACCAACGGCGACAAGGGATTAATTTTAGACGTAAGGAAAGGACGTTTGGACGCTTGAAATTGCTGCATAAAGACAATAAATAATTCTGGAACCATTTCACCGTTGTTAAGTTGATCTCCAATAAATGTTTTGACTCTCACAGTGTTAGACAGGCCAGCGAGCGTTGATTTAGCATAATAAGACTAAGAAGAGTAAATGGCGATAAAGTAACGTTAGACTGCCTAATCGTAACAAAAGTACAACACCTTAGCCAGACTTCAACGGTGGCCGATGGATTAATCTAAAGGTTGAAGCATAAGACGGCTGTGGAAGAAAGCGTCCTTTCCTTACGTCTAAAATTAGTCCCTTGCCGCCGTTGGTTACTATAAACTAAGCTTTTTCATGATTCACTGTTACATCTCAATGACCTTTCGTTACCGAACACTGATCAGGGGCACCCAACGACGGTTTCCTCCAAAATATGTTGAAAACACTTTTTAGGCTATCCAGAGTGTTTTTAGATCTCTA